GGGGTGTGATGACTTTATTCCAAAAACTACTCATCCGAAGTTCCATGAGGTAAATAACCATACCCCAAAACTCACTGACCTAATGTTTATGTTCTAGAACAAATGCAGATTCCAAAGAACTCTTTCCAAAATTCCATTCAGTGGAACGAAATGAAGAAAAAAAGTGTTTGTTTCGAACCATCGAGCTTACCAGGGGGTGTAATCATTCATTTAATCTTGTAAATGCAGAGTGACGAATAAATTGGTTCGAATATTTGAAGTGTTTAAATCGTAAATGATTGTGTTAGTTTATAATGTCAGTTAAGGTCATTTAAGTTGAGCATTATGCTTTAGCAGATTGTAGTAAATTTTAAATGATTTAATAACGATTATAGTTTTATTACAAACAAAACACACATGAGTAACATTTTTCAACAGGAAGTCAACCATTTCAATCAAGATCATGTTATAGCTTGTTTTTGAAATAGAATCATTGGTATGAATTTTGTAAGTTAAACAAACTGATGAAGATAATTTGTAGCAGTTTTAAATTACAATTAAAATATTTGACTTTGAAGATGAACTATTGGTTTAAATAACTAAAACTGAAAAGTAATGATTAAGATCAATTCTCACATTTTTAAATCCCAATATTTTATGACGATTATCTCATTAAAATCATCTCCTCTCAATAAAATCATTGATTTAAAGTTATTAAATTAATATGATTTAAATCATTCTCATCTTTTTAAATCACGAATTTTCTTTGTTATTACTTAATTAAAAAAAATAAAGTCATTAAAATTGAAAAAAAGCATTACATTATTAAATTACAATTAAAATAGCTTGATTTTCAAATAAAATCGTTGGTTTAAGAAACTAAAATTAAAAAATATAATGCTGAACATAATTTCTAATACTTTAAAATAATAAGTATAGACGTTCGTTATTTTTTGAAAAAAAAATTTATTAAAAATAATTAGTATTGAAAAATAAAGATAAAAATACATTTTCCCAATTTTGAATCGCTAGGTTTTATAATAAAATCATTAGTTTAAGCCATTAGAATTCAAAAAAAATACTGATTTGAAATAATTTCTTCCACTTTTAAATCACGATTACGATCATTTGATTTTAAAATAAAATTTTATTGGTTAAAACCACCAAGTTAAAAAAATATACATAAAATTATTCATCACACTTTAAAAAAGATTTGAAGCAACGATAACAAACCATATAAAATAAAAATATAATTTTTATTTACTTTAATTGTGATTATTTCCTAGCCAATATAAAAGACTATAAAAATACAAAGGGTGATAATTTAATTCAGCATATTAGAAAGAGTCATGATTAAATGATAACTCTATAAATTTAATAAAATAATTTTTGATACTAAATTACTTATTCATTTATTATATATTTTTATGAGTTTTTAACCGAATTGATTGTAGAAAGGGGGTCATGTCATTTTGCTGTAAGTCAGTCAATTACCAATTACGTGACAATTTAATTTACATTAGTAAATCTAAAAGATATGTCTCTTAGAATAATTGCACGATGCTCATTTTAAAATTTCAGAATTTTTTTTCAGTAGGAAATTAGGATTTTTTAAAATTTTTTTAATCATTAAATTTTCAAACCGAAATTTTCAAAATGCATTAAATTTTCAAAACGACCGAAGTTATTCATAATTTAACTTTCCTGCAAAACTTACGATTTTCTCCCCACAGCATAGGCGCTGAGAGGAAAAACTAACTGCCGGAGATTTCCTACAGAACTGTGGAGTCGGAATAATAAAAAATTTGGAAGAGTCGGGAGGTGGGATTCGAAAATAATTTTGTCGGTGTCGAAGTTGGAGAAATTTTATCTACTCCTGTTAGTCAAAAGTTGGTTCTGTGGATTAAAAGGGAAGTAGGAAGGTAGGTACTTTATTTACGTCACACGGGAGTGAACAATGGGCTATTGGCGGCGGTCCGGGAAACATCCCTGAGGATGATCCGAGGACATGCCATCACAATTTTGATCCTCTGTAATGGGAATGGCTCTCCTGCTTTGGTAGACCGACGACCTGCGACCTGCTGCATTTTACGGTAGAGCAGTTTAACGAGCATACTGCTCATCCTTAGTCCCTAAGCAGGGAGATGAAAGTGGTCACCCACCCGCTTACTGACCGCAGCCCGATTTTTAAGAGAAAAAACAATTTGATCTTGTGAAAATTATTGAGATAAATATTTATTATTACGTAAACAAAATTATAACTCTAAAAAATATTGTGACAATTATTTTATTATTATTATTTTTTTAACCGTCGTTGAATAGCCGACCCAATTTTAAGTTTACGACCAATTATGTTTAACTCCGTAGCCTTGTAATTTTGAAACCAATCCAGAAGACAAGGGAACTCCGGGATCAAATATTAGGAAAAAGTAGTCTTCCTGGGGGACTAGTTTGATGGATCCAACCCGCATTTGCATTACACGTAGAGGGAAACCATGAAAACCTACTCACGTTTAACCAGACGATAAGGGGACTTTAACACATGATTTATCTACCACTGAGGATATTTTTCGTCATCACTGTGGTCGGTGAGAGCAGGGTGCATATTTCGTATCGACTAGTCAATGTTGGGATTCGAACCCAGGTCACCTCATTTGGAAACGAGCACTTCTAAGCCACCACGGCACTAAAACAATTATTGGCATTATTACTTATTTCAAACTAAATCAAACACACTTGAACGTGTTTGCGCCTATGCTTAACAATTGGAAAAAAACTATATTTAAATATTGAAACTATGCTTAAGTATTGAAGTAAAAAACCTTGCAATTGAAAAATTGATATTAATTAATAAATTATTAATAAGCTATCTTTTAATTTATAAATTTCGCAACTAATTTTTTTGCGAAGTTACCAACCTAATTATAAGGATGTGCAAAATAACATATCATACGTAATGATTTCTTACTTTATAAATATTCACTAAGTCTTTTTTTTTTCTTTCATCAAGTGATACGTGCGTGTGTGAAACATTGATATGTAGCTGTTTTCTTACAATGATTTTGCAAAAATGCATTATTTTGTACAAATATAATTTTTAAAATTTTGATTATTTTATAATATATTTAATAATAATAAATTTTAATTTTTTCTACGGATGATATATTACTATACAAAATGTAATTTTAAATCAAATGTTACAATACATGTGTATTTTCAATAAAAAAAAATATGTAATCATAATAGTAATTACTAATACTTTTTGAATTTGGTGGAAATTTTAATTGAGTTGTAGTCGGAGTCGATGGAAAGTCGATGGATGGAAAGTCCGGAGTCGGAGTCGAACATTTCAACTACCGACTCCACAACGATGATATTCAGTCATCATTTCACCGATATAACATTTAAATAAAGAGCTATACGATTTTTGACAACATTTTTTTTTATCTCAGAATTAAATGAAAGAGCAAATGAGAGCTATTAAAGCAGCAGCAGCAGCAATCATATGACTGATTTTTAACATCCACGGGGGTGATAATAATATATTGTAAAGATTGTTTAAAAATTTAATTACTCTTTCACCGTAATCAAACGAGCCATTTTCCCCACTTATACGCTTAATATCTAAAATTCAGTACTGAAATATAACTTGCATTAATTTCCCCCCAAATATTACAAACATATGTGCCTCGAACGGCAATTCAACTAACCCACCATTCACTATGGTAACTTTTCCTGAAAATGGAACTCAAAATCGCTGTTTATTTACACTGAGTAACAAAATTCTGGTAAAACTACAGTACTGCATAGTAATAACATTTCTGATTAAAAAAGAATAATACGAATTCTGGTTAATTGAACCAAAATATATGGTATTTAAACAATTCTTTTGGTAATTTCTCCGTTTATAGGTTAATGGTTTAGTGGAAATTATGGTTTTCAAAATTGTAGTTCTTATAACCACACATTTAATAAAAAACACAAAACTGAAAAATAATTGAACCGAATAAATAGTTTTTATGCAGTGTTCTAGTATCATGATAAAATTACCAAATTTTACCACATTTACCTACTTTTATCACATAATTAAAACACATTTTATTGTTAATTGTACTAATATCATTAACAAAAAGCTTCGGTAAAAATTACTGTGGTTTTTGGTGCTATCATATAACCAAAATCACGATAAATTTCACCATATTCTGGCAGATTTTACTATACTTTTCTCTATGGTTTTAGTGAATATTCTTATAAAGGAAAACTGTTAGTAGAATTACCAACGTATCAAATTCCTCAGAAGTTGTGGTCATTTTCTAAAATATATTACTAAAGAAATTACCTTATAGTTTTGTCGAATAGGAATAAAAATTGAGGATCGATAAAATAACCTAGGTAGATAAAAGCTAGGTTTTAGGTAGTAGTTTTAACAACATGTATATTAATTTTAAGTGATATGTTAAAGATTGAGTTAAAACACTCAATTAATTGTTAACTTAAACACATATTATATGAACGTATACATAAACATATACACATACTATATAAAAGTATACCTAAACATATACAGATTATATATTAGTTTTAAAAGTTAAGTGTACACAGATTTAAAAGTTAAGCATACACTGATTCCTTCTAAGACTTTTTTTAAAGAAAAAATAAGATGTAGAAACAAAACATATATGATTTTTAAACAAAATCCTCAGCAACAAAAAATATAAGCAAATAATGATGACAACAAAATATTATGACAATTCTGCTCTAAAAATTTATAATTTTAGGCCGAAAATTAATACAAACACTCATCTGTTTATTATACTCCATTTCAAATAATTATCAATTAAAAATATAAAATAAAGAAAAAGCAACTTTCATTAATTTATAAAATAATAGCAATATAACCTCAAGAATTTACGCTTTCTTTAAAATTTGTAAATTAAAAACATTTTTTGAAATATCGTTTGCTATATTCGAATGATTGTCAGTTTAAATTAAAAAATTTATGAGAAACAACTTTCACTTACATCTAGAAAATCGTCTGCTATAATCCACGGATCGACTTCGATTGGCAGTAAGAAGTCCTGGAGATCCAATCACGGTTATTGCCCGGCCATAATATCGGACGTCCGGTATAATAAATCCCTTTTTTGATCCAAGTCTCTGGGTCACTACCTCTTCGTCACCATCCTCCTCCCATTTCTGCTGAGGACTTGAAAAATCATCTGGTAGGGGGTCGACGGACGATTCTGGCAAATCATCTAAAATTTCCGATGGAATTCGTCTGAGAAAAAATTCACGCTTCGGCGGCCAAAAAATTATCTGTTCTTGTTTCTCAAAAGAATTAATATTCTCGACAGGATTGGGGGTGTTTCGAATGGGTGCGACGACCGCGAGCGATCCCTGCTTTTCCAAATCAGGCAGTGTTCGAAGTCGAAGGGACATTTTTCTTCATCTTCCTTTTTTTGTTTTCTTTCTTTTTTTTTAAATCATGCTCTTTAACTTTCCGCGCTGCGCTGCGTAAATTTGTGCACTGAAGCGATCAATCGTCAGCGGCTATTTCCCGCCATTAGGTAAGGGTGGTTTGGTTTCTCGGGGATTTTTACTTGTGACTAAAGTAGGGATTTTATTAGATGTTTAGGGATTTCGCTGTAAGTTCTTTTCTTTCTTTCTATTACTTTTCAATTCATTTTTATGTAGATTTTTCTAACAAAACAAAAGAACTCAGTCAATTGTCACCATAATTAATAGTTGGATGCAACCAAATAAATTAATTTAATTCCTGAATTATTTCATTTTATTTATTTATTTCATTTTATTTATTCATTTATTTTATTTTATTTATTTTATTTTATTTATTTTATTTTATTTATTTTATTTATTTATTTTATTTTATTGTGTGCGTAAATATATGCGGAAATTAATCTATCGCAAAAAACTATTTGTTTACAAAATATTCCCTAACTCTTCAAAATCCCTTAATTTTTTTTTTTTTAATGTAAAGGTGATAGTTTATAGGGGATCATTCTCTTCATTAATATATTACCCTAAAACCTTAAATTTAAATTCATTTGAAACTCATCCTATTATTCTTCACAAAATATCTACAAATATATATCAATTTTTAAAAAAATTCATTTTTATTGCAAAAAAAGAAAAAAAATACAGTAATATAATTAAAGTTTTTAAACATTCTTTGGATTTTAAACATTCTTTTTTTTCCCCCTCCAACTATGCCAGCCACTGAGTTAAGACTATTTTAAATAATTAGGATAGAAATAGCACTATTTCTAATAGCCTTGATCAAGAAATTTTTAAGTCTGCTATCAGATTTGACGTTAGGATCTATTAAAGCACTAATTGCGAATTTCGTAATTTCACTTTGTACAAAAATTGTATTTTAAAATTGTTTGGAGCACATGCATCCATTTATCTGAATCAGCGCTCTCAATTTTTTTAAGCTACATTCATGCTTATTTTGGCGGAACCCTAACTTTATTATTAAAAAAAAAAAAAAAAGAAGGAAAAAAAATTAAAAAAAGAGAAAAAAATTCATCACCAAATGTACATATATATAATTTCAAAAATAAATAAATATGAACAATTTCATATAAGCCACCGAAATACTAAATGAATTACGGTCNAGAAGAAAAAAAATTAAAAAAAAGAAGAAAAAAAATTAAAAAAAGAGAAAAAAATTCATCAGCAAATGTACATATATATAATTTCAAAAATAAATAAATATGAACAATTTCATATAAGCCACCGAAATACTAAATGAATTACGGTCTATTGATTGGATATATTTATATTTATAGTGGTTAAAAAAAAAACCTAATTCTCAGAACCCCTGTCCCTGAATCTAACTGTCAGAACCTTACCGTGGAACCCCAGGGTTCCTCGAAACATATATAGGGAACCGCTGATCTATATGATATCTTCTGTACCCAGGAACTTGAAATGTCGAAAACTCCAAAATTTGATACATTTTTCAATGTCCTCATGGCAGAAGAACGTATTATTGTAGAAAGCTTTTTTTTTTTTTTTTTTTTTTTTTAAACTTCCAAATTATATGAAAACACAACTTTTGAACTAACAAGCTAAGTAAAAATCCAACCTTTGTAAATATGAGTGCCAATTTCGTTCCTCCTTAATATATATTATTTCTGCGTGTCAGCAAAAAAACATATCCATACCTGTTACTGTTTACTTACTCCACCATTATTGAGATTTTAATCTTTCTAAACAGAAATACTTAAATTAATTAATAAATTAATTGAATTTAATTAAATTAATTGAATTAGCACATTTGAATTAGCATATTGTATTTGTACAAAGTCTTTAGTAAATTTTCAGATGTTTTTATAATTTAGTTTTGTAAATTTGCAAATTTTACAAACTTTATTTCTGTATTTTTTGCAATTTTAAATATTTTGTATTCTTATATTTGCAGACTCTTTCGGATTTTGTTTCTGTATTTTAATTAATTCTTTAATTATTTATAATTCACTGTAATTTTAAAGTTCTATTTTTAAATCTCTGTGATTTTTCAGAAAATATGTGTTTTAATTCTTTGTAATTTTAAAGCTCTATTTTTAGTTATCTGTGATTTTACAGAAGCTTTGTTTTTAAATCTCTGAACATTTCCGAAACTCTGTTTCTAATACTCTGTAATTTTGCATAATTTGTAGTTGTAGATTATTTACGTCGCACTAGAGCTGTACAATAGGCTATTGGCGACGGTCTGGGAAACATCCCTGAGGATGATCCGAAGACATGCCATCACAATTTTGATCCTCTGCAGAGGAGATGGCACCCCCGCTTCGGCAGCCCGACGACCTGCACGGGAAGTCGAGCACTTTACGGTAGAACAGTATAACGAGGACCAATACCGCACACCCTCGGTTCCTACGCAGACTGATCCAAGCGGTACCCCACCCGAACACTAACAGCAGCCAGTGATACTTGACTTCGGTGATCTGCTGGGAACCGTGTCTTAACGATCAGTCCACTGCGGGACAATTTTGCATAAGACACGTGATTAATGATTTCTGGAATTTAATTTTGTGATTTTAGCAAATTTTTCACAGAGTATACTTTAGGTAACAGTGTTTTCAATTCTTTCCAATTTTTAGAAATTTTGTTTTTAATTCTCTGTGATTTTGCATAAGACTTGTGATAAATAATTCCTGGAATTTGATCTTTCATTTTATCAAAATTTTCTTGAAGTACATAATTTAAGATTAAACGTGGAAGTTGAACTTTTCCACTAAGGTAACACAATAATGAGTTAGAACACTTTTTTCAGAAATACATTATCTCTACTTTTCTCACTCATAATAATAATACAGTCGCAGTTGCAACAAAAGATGTATTCTATTTCAGATTAACTGCTTCTAACGTTTAGCTTAGCTTAACTTCACAGTTACAGTTAAAATCCTTTTACAGACTTCTTTTCGGAATACTATAATAGTTTTAATCCTTAAAAAAAATTCAATTGAATCATGCAGACTGAGATCCCAGACTTCTATGACTAATCCTAGAATTGTTGTTGTGGCTATAAACGGCTAAGAACTGTGACGTGACAATAATACGGAACCAGAATAGAATAAATTTGGTGACAATTCATGTATGATGACTACTGGTTTTTCTTTCGTGTGCCCATGGAAATAAGCACTTTCTTTGGGGGATATCTCATGCTGAAACTTCACCATTTTAAGTCATACTTCAGTTGCTTTTTTACAAAATATATTTCTTGTCGGAGATTCCCTTTGAATCAAAATAATTTGGTAACTTTGCGGGGCCTTTGAAAAAAGGATGATTGAGGGTACTATTAGCAAAGAATAGTAGACAGTATCAAGGTAACAAGATTAGCAGCACCATTAAATATATATATCTAATAACTAAGGCCCGGATTTTGATGACATTTGCATTTTTTGCATTTTTGGACATTTTTTGTTCTTTAGAGCATTTTTTAGATTTATAGGGCATTTTTCTTTAAATTTTTTGACGTATTTTGAATTTTAAAGCATTTTTTAAATTTTTTTTAAAATTTTTCCAATTTTTATCATTTTTTTATTATTTTTTATTACTACACTGGCTTCCAATCAATGAAAAAAATCTCTAGGATATTAACAGGCGAAGCAACATTTTTTCAAATTAAAGAAGAATTGTCAGTAAGTGAGGCCGTCTTTTTCAAGTACGCACCAATAACATCAGTAGACGTTGAAAGAAGCTTCTCCAGGTATGAAAATTTACTTTCAGACAAGAGATGCTCGTTTACATTTCAAAATACCAAAAAAAATTTAATAATCCAATGCAATTCTGATATTTAGTAACATTATGAGATGGAAGTTGTTATATTCAGTAAAGTTTTTATACAAAATGAAAATGTTCTAGAGTCAATATATTTTCCTTCTTTTTTTGTTATTTTAGGATATAAAGCATATTTTCCAAACTTTAATGAACGTAGAACAAGTATTGCATTGCTTTATATTTTTTTAAATGACTCATAATAATTTTAAAGAGTAAATCATTGTTTTAGTTCAATATTTTTACTTTATTTAAGTCATGTCAAAAGGCATTTTTAGCACAATTTTCGCATTTTAAGGACTTTTTTCACACTTTTTAAGCAGTGCCGTAGCGAGCTTAACTCGCGCCCGGGGCACAATACCTTTTTAGCGCCCCCCCCTCACTCGAAAACCATCTAATATTATAAGCAAAATATACTCGCAAAGTAATAAATAAATTAAATAAAATAAATAAAGTCATAGGCTCAAGCTAGGCATTAAATTTGAGACAAAAAATGTAGTTGAGAAAACAAGACTAGATTTTGAAATGTATATGATCATCTAGAATTAGTTCAAAAGATACCCATTATTTATTTTACATATTTATAAAGAAATATTTTAAAAATACGCAGTTTTAAAACAATAAAAAAGTAAATATTTATTATCTTTAAGGAGACACATATATTTAATAGTATGATTATAATACATTAATAAAACTAATTACTATGTATAAATTTTCCGCTTTTGATGAAGCAAATTTATCAATAATATCATCAAAGTTGATCATTTCAAATTTTTCTCTTTCCACACTTAAAAATGCTAAGTCACTTAGGCGATCTTGTCCCATCGTTGATCGTAGATATGTCAAAATTAATTTTAATTTGCTGAATGGCCATTCGCAGCTAGCAATTGATACTGAGAGAGTCAGGAGTATTTGAAGTGCCACTCTCAGGTTTGGAAAAACATCTTCTCCATACGGGATTATAAAAGTAAGAGATTCTAATGGAGTTTTAAGTTCAATTTCTTTTCTACTGCGGAGTAACATTTTGCAGTCACATACTTCGATAAAGAGTTCTATTCCATTGAAATCTGTATTATAAAATTCCCCCAAATTTTTAAAAAAAATTTTCAAGGTCGTTATCAACATTATCCTTGTTTAATAAATTTTCAACGTCTAGTAGAAATCCAAATTTGAAATTAAGGTCACTTAATCGTGTAAATCCTGTATATATTTCTTGTTGGAGATGATCAAGAACGCTTTTCATAACGCGAGAAATTTCACTTTCTGCGGAAAGACTGACATCTCTAGCCAATTCTCCGG